GTCTTTGCGTAGGACAAACTACAGACTACAGTACGAGTCGATGCATCAGTACAGCGCAGTGCAAGTACGGCAGTGCAGTGTGATACGAACGGCGCTTCGCACGCACCTAGCGTGTGCGTCCGACTGGTAGCATGCATCCATGATCCACGCATGCATGCCATATCGATCGACGATCGTCTTGCAAAAAGACTGCACACGTGACGTGGTAGATCTACAAGCACGTAGACTACCGTACCGCGGTAGTCTCCTACGCGCGGGTCCGAGCTAGCTAGGTCGCGACGTCGACCGGCCCAGGGAAAAATACCACCTACGCGGAGTAGATCGACGAGCTCGCGACGCGAGGCCAGAGCCCAGGCCAGGCAGGGGCCGGCCCAGGGTCAGGGATCTAGGGAGCAAGCTGGCTTAGCTGCGTTGTATGGCTCCCTACATGCATCTGCAATATGGTAGATCATTATGACTTGTAAGTAATAAGTTGTACACTCAAACGCCTCTTATCCGGACGCCTCAGATACGGGCACGTCTCTCTACCGGGCACCTTCAGCTTGAGTTCCTATAGCACAAATGCTTCGAATTTGGGGGTTTTGAACTTTTTTCCGTATGAGGAAGTGCTTATTTTTCGCTGCCAACCTATGTAATCCACACATTTTTATCAATGGGTTCCTTTTGTATCCTGAACATGTGCAATACGTTCCAAATAAACTTCTTCAAAAATGATATGATACATGGTAGATGTGTTATTCTGAGATACGGGCAAATCTGAGATACGGGCAGTGCCCGGTCCCAAGGTGCCCGGATAAGAGACGTCCGAGTGTAGTTGTACTTGTACTAGTACTGTAGTAGTAGTAGTAGTAGTACTCCTGAGTCTTGCCTTGGTTCAATCGATGATCATGATGATGGCTGCTGCACTGCAGTGCATTCAGAGCTCGACTACACTACCATGACTACAGACTACAGTCCAGACGGTGTAGTCGAGCTAGCACTGAGTCTGTAGAGTGTAGTAGCTGCTGCTGCAGTCAGTCTGAGACAGACTCAGTCAGTAGAACTGTTTTCAACAGACAACACACTGCGTACTTACACTACTCGATCCTCAACTACCTTTACTTGCTGTCAATGGATCAACAGCCGCTAGGCTAGGGCTGGACCGTGCCAGCCAGTCCTAGCGTGTGCCATCACTGGCATCAGGTACATGATGAGTAGGAATGCACGCATATGACTACTGTATAGTCATTGTACAATGTTTATGACAATAAAATTTGATTGTAATGTCATCATTCATGTGTCAGCTGATGATCAGCTGTACTGTAGCCTGTAGTGTAGGCTGTAGGCTGACACTTGACAGTACTGTTCTGGTCACGGTTCTGCTATGGCAGGATCTACACTGCAGATGATCAGATCAGCAGCAGATACATGCCAGGGGGAGGGAGGGAGAGAGAGAGGGAGGGAGAGGGGGAGGGAGGGTCCTGGGAGAGAGGGAGAGAGGGAGAGAGAGAGAGGGAGGGAGAGAGATATGGAGGGAGAAAGAGAGGGAGAGAGGGAGAGGGAGGGAGGAGGGGAGAGAGGGAGAGAGGGGAGGGAGGGAGAGAGAGAGGGAGAGAGGGAGGGAGAGAGGGAGGGAGGGAGGGGAGAGAGGGAGGGAGGGAGGGAGGAGAGAGAGAGAGAGAGAGGGAGAGAGGGAGAGGAGGAGGGAGTGAGGGATGGAGAGAGAGAGGGAGGGAGAGAGAGAGAGAGAGAGAGAGAGAGAGAGAGAGAGAGAGAGTTGAGTGAGATAAGATAGAGAGAGAGAGAGCCGGAAGAGGAAGAAGAAAGAGAGAGAACTTTCCTTTCCCTACTACGTATGCATTCCCATTCCGGCTTCCATATTTTTTTGGCCTCCGTTTCTCTATTGAAATACAACACCACTTCTTCGTAATTCCTCCGCGTTGTCACTTCTGACGACTCCTCTATAGCTAGCTCCATGCCTGTACCTATACGAGGGTCAGCATGGGAACGTTGAAACTTACTTGCGTCCGATATTTGCGCAGCTGTAGGTCCTATGTCAGTGTGGCTGATAGTGTTGTGTGTTGAGCTTGAGCATTGCTATCGGCAGCTGACGGTGAGTCCAGTCAGTCAATGTGGTAACTTATACCGGTCTGGCTGGGTAAGTTACTAACCGGTTCGTAGTTTCATACTGTGACAAGTAGTCCATGCCACTGGGCGGCCACAGGAGGTGATGTACTTTGAAGTTCCTCCATGTAGTAACCCTGCTAGCTCGGAACTTC